AAACTAGAGAAGGCACACGGCAGAGCCTAGTAACCTACAGCCCTGCTAAATAGGAAATGCAGAGGCTCACCACGGGCGACTCCATAAAGCCACTCTGGATGCCATTTTGCTAATTGTGTTTGCTATGACACCAAGCACCGTTTAGCTGGTCTCCCAGAGTGTCTCCATAATGGCAATCACTTGCCAGGAGCGAGAGTGATTTTTATTTGATATCCATACAAAGCAGAAGCAAATGAATTACCATAATGAGAAGCAACATAATGATGTGGAGATGTACAAACTGCCATTGTGTTTAATAACAACAGAGCCTTCCCTTTTGAATTAAATTTGTAGAAAGATTCTTACTGAAGCATCATTGTGCTGAAACCAAGTTGTTTGGAAAACACACACACACACACACACACACTCCAAAGTATTTCAAGCCTGTGATTACTGGAAAGGTTGTTAGGAGAATTTTTTTTTTCTTCCATTTTTATTCTCAGCAAAATCGACTTAGTTGTAGCACTCCACAGCTGCGATTTGTGAAGTAAATGGCAAAGCTAAATGTGCCGAAACTCAACATGTTCCCTGAGCAACAAAGGGATAGAAGGCAAATGTTACAGTATTATTGACAACACTGGTAATGCTTGTATAAGCATCTGCTTCATAAAGGGGAAAAAAACCTACATTATAAACAAAAGGAATTTCCAAACAAGGCCTGCCACCTCAAATTCTGGCTTTGATTTGAATTTTCACATCAGCGAGAGAAAATATTTCTTCTTTTTGCCTTCTCCCTCCCAGATAAAAATTCTCTGATTTGCATCCTGGAAATCTCCCCATGGTGAACTCCTCTGTGGGTTTTGGGATTTTTTTTCTTTCTTTCTCTGAAATGATTTCTTATACTTACCGGCGTTTAACTTTTCCCTACTGCTTGATTTTCACCAGCAGATGAAGAGATTCAATAAACATGGCATTATTTAAACCGTTTTTCGTGATCTTCATGAGGGTATTGTCCTGTTTTCGGTCTGTCCAATGTGTGAACAGTGTGGGGCCTTCTCCACTCACACCCCACCCTGGTCCTTTCAATGTGCCATTTATATCCCTTTGCAATCAAACACCCTGGTGTCATTAACGGAGAAACTCAGCTGTAGACCCAGAGGCCTGGATTAGATAAAGATAGACTCAGGGAAAACTGAAGTGAAAAATTATGGAACTAGAAGTCAGGAGCCCTATGTCATGGGTCCCGTCCACCATTACATGTGATGGAGACACGTCAACTTCTTTGAGTATATCTCAGTTTTCCCAGCTGTAAAATAGGCATAATGTCTACTCCAACTCATCAAATCATATTCCAATGTTTTATAAACTGTTAATATTATATTCATAAGAGACAACAAAATTTCCATTAGTAAGCCCAAACACCTTCAGAGAATCATGCAATTCACAATGATCTGTATTTTTTTTTTTATTTTGGTCATTTTACCATCCAACATATATTCATTGAGTTCCTATTTGGTCCAAGGCACAATCCTCAATGCTGTGGAAGTCTGTATATCATAATACCTGGAGGAAGTTAAACACCAAGCAAGAAGGAGGCGCACCCATAGAAAAAGACGGCTAGAAATGGAGTCCACCCTGTAAGTACTAAATGGGAGGCAGAAAAACTCAGGGATTAAGAGCACAGATTTTCTGGGCCTAAATCCTGTCTTTGTCACTGACTAGCCATATGATCTTGAGCAAGTGACTCAACCTCTCTATGTTTCAGTTTCCTTACCTGTAAAATGGGAGTAACAATCATCATCAATCTTAATAATAATAATAATAATAATAAACTTATAAGCTTATTGTGAGGAATAAATATGTTAATTCATCTCGAGTTCCTTGTGCATACATACGACACAATTAATATCAGTTGGAAATAAAGAAGACAGTCTCTACAATAATTAGAGAAAGAGAAAGCAGGAAAGAGTGGTGATCAAGAGTGGTCTGGGGTTCCTGATCTAGGGTTTGAAGTTGGGAAGCAGGGAGCCATGCCCGGGCACTCTAGAAGAGATGGAAGCTAGCTAGCCTCTGCATATCTCTCTGCAGGCAAAGGCTAGGGGGGTAAAGGGCCATACTTCAAAGCTGGCAAAGCTGCTCACATATTTTCTGACTCTTAGTAGACTAAGGTTTGTGTTTCCCTTTGAAATCATATTACCTCTTCCTCCTCCTCCTCCTCCTCCTCCTCCTTCTTGTGGGGGGGGGGTGCTTTAATGACTTTATTGGTCCAACAAAGACAAATCTAAATATAGTACTATTGTAATTGTGAAGTTCTTGACAGTGAGACACTAAATTGCTTTGTACGATAACACGGAGGCCATTGCAGCAGGTTGGCATGACATTCACAGGACTATACCTGCAGATGACTAGAGAGGAAGAGACGGGGGAGAGAGGCAAGTGTGGAGAGCACAAGAAGCTGGTTAAAACCAGGACCAGGTACAAACAGAGATTCTTCTGTTCTTGTCACAATCTCCAGTCCCCTTGCCTTAACCTGTGAATGGAATTCAGAAGTGAAAATAAACCTGAAACCCAGGACAGCCATTTCTGGGGTTCTGCTAAGGACATGGTGATCCCTTCCAAGTTTGGAGGGTCAGCGGGCTCTACTGGGCTTCACAGGTGTCCATCTACAACATGGCTCTCCTCCAAGTGGCTCCTCAGGTTAATTTCTTGCTCAGATTTTTGCTTTACAACTGACTTTAGAACCCAATCTCCAGGAAAGACCTGGCTCCACTCTCCACACTCTTTTTATTTGGGGTAGGATTTTTCCCCCACAGATTGTGGATATGGAAGGACAAGTGCAGACCAAGAGTGAGGAAGACTGTGGCTCCTCCTTCTTCAACCCCATCTTTTGGGAGCTCATGTCCTGCAGCCTGAACTCTGGATAGGAAAGCTTTGCTAAAGTTCTGTCTTCAGGAGAGGAGGCATTGCCCCCATCCCAGAAGGCTGCAGAAGGGAAACTTGGGAAGAGAGACCCAGTTGGGATCCTGAGATAGACCTTGGCTTCTGGATTCTAGCAGGATTCACATGTACCAGCCAAAGTGAAAGGGCAACAGAGTTTGTATATTGACTTCTTCTGCTATCCTTTACTTTTCAGAGTTTGGTTTTTAATCAACAGCATGATCTATGTCTTGGGCCAGATGAAAAGAGAAAAGGCCATCATTAGTGTAGCTAACACGGTGCCTGTCCTCTGCAAACACAGGTTAAACAGAAGGCACTAAACATTTTCCCTGAGCAGAGCAAGGAGGTTACCTCACTCAGAGGAGACAGGGCTGGGCCCTGGAAAACAGTATCCCTGCAGTTTCCTCTGAGCACCACCATCTCCAAGCGCACTGGTGCACCTCCCTTGCTACTTTGACCGCTCATTTTTCTAAGTGCCATTTTATTTCTGGGAAGGAAGACCAAAGTGAGAGACACTAAACCCCAGACAGAATTTGACTGACAAGAGAGGACCATAGAACCTTCCCATTTTCTATTTTGCCTCCTTATCTATCCTCACACTCCCTCCAGAAAATCCATCGTTATTTCCTAACTCAGACTTTACATGTCAACAAAAAAATTAGAACTCCTTTATAAACACTGGTCCGACTGTGCCAGACAATTGGCAAGAAGTTCTGGAGAATGCAATCTCTATTTCCTTTTTATTGCAGAACAGCATAATCCTGGAGACCATGTCATAAAGTGGATCACTGGAAAGCAAATTACATTTTCCCATAGGAACAATGTTATAATTAGAGGCTGTATTCCTGACAAAGGATTTGGCTTCACGTAAATAGTAGACATGGAAAAAAAATTTTTTACAAAAGCAAAGATTCAAGTAACTATAAATCCTTATAATTGTTTGAAATAATAAAACTCTCTTCAAAGTATTATAAAACCAGGCAGGATTAGAGGAGCCCACATTGATTACTGCGGGACTCCAATGTACCGTAAGTGTATATTAAAATATAACAACTGTGTCATAAATTAGAACCGGAAGCTAACTTTAATGTAGTCACTACACACTTAATTAACAATGAGGAGGCATTGAGGGGCCATGGTTGAAGTGTGGCATTGGGCATTAGGAGACCCAAAGTGCAGCCCTGCCCTCGAGACAGAGAGGGCACAAGCTGGACCCACCAAGGCAGGGAAGGTGGCTGAACAGAGCATGGCTCCAAGTGGTCCTTACAACAAACAGCCCAGCTGTGAGCTGCCAATTTGGGCAAGTTAATCACTTTCTCTGAGCCTGTACTTCTTCATTCATAAAACAAAGAAGCAGCAGTGTAAAGTTTCTAAGGTCCCTTCTAACTCCAAAATTCTAAAACTGCTGTTTTTCTCAGAATTCAGAGGAGTTTGCAGGTGTGGTCAACTGTCACTTTGGAGGCAATGAATAAAGCCACGATATTTGCACCAACGTGTAGTTCCCACTCACATGCTTGGTCACGTGAATTGGTTTGACCACTGGGACTTAGGAAGCAAGATGGATGCAGAGGCTTAACACTTGCTGGCACAATGTTCCTGGGGAAAGTGTTGGAATCCAGGCGCCATGCTATGAGGACCCCAAGCCTCATGAAGAGGCCACATGAGGTGAGCCAAGCCATTCTGGCGGCTGACACCAGCTGGACAACAAGCCTACCGCCAGCGCCAATTGCTAGTTGTGTGAAGGAGGACCTAGGACACTGTAGCCCACTTGTGTCCCCAGGTGGCAATAGCCCCAGCTGACATCCTGAAGAACAGAACCTCCCAACTGAGCTTAGTCAATCCACAGTCATGAAAGATAATAAAACAATTATTTTAATGCACTTTGTTTTGAGGTGGTACATTACATAGCAACCACTAACTAAAACCACTAGGATACAAATTAAATGGTTTTGGACTTTTGTTAAGAGTAAACTGTCCAGGAAAGACTGAATAATGTATATTTTTCACTATGTAAGTTTTACTATACTGAGAAACATTCAAATAGTCCAACTACTTTAAAATAGACTCAAAATACCATAGCAGGATTCAATAAATATTTGTAATAGATAAAGATGTTTCCTCTTCCTGAAAAATATTTTGCCTCTTTACCTTCTCTTGAGAAAGTAGAGTTGTTCAAATGCACAATCAAATAAAGGTCACAAGGAAATGATATTGCTTTTCAGTCATTCGCCCTGACACTTTGTTGACAGCTCTCAGAACATTCCCTCACTACTGATAATCCATAAAAACAATTTTCAATCAAAGTAAAGACTTTAAAATAGGAGTGTAGCAAGGTGTCTGGTAAGGCAGAACTTTACTTTTTCCTGATAAATAAACTGTTGACATTCCGAGCTAGGGAGAAGTGGGTAAATTTGTATGAGACTATGAGCTTTAAGGTAAAGGGATGTATCTTAGTCCTTTGGGGCTTTATAACAAAACACCACAAAAATGATAAACAGCAGAAATGTATTTTTTTTTTCTCTCAGTTCTAGAGGCTGGGAATCTAAGATCAAGATTCCAGGTTTGACCTTTGACTGGGGGCCCATTTCCTGATTTATAGAAAACGCCTTCTTGCTCTGTCCTGGCACGGAAGAAAGGGGTGAGGCAGCTCTCGACAGCTTCTTTAATAAGGGCACCAGGATGCAGGGATGTGGTCTGATTGTGCCTCCACCAACAAACTGTGTGTTTGGAATCTTGGTCCTTGGTGTGGTGATGTTGGAAGATAGTGGAACCTTAAAGAGGTAGAACCTCATGGAAGATAATTATGTCATTGAGAAAAACTACCCTTGGCAAGAATTAATGTAATTTTCATATACTGTGCTATTTCTCAACAGAGTAGGTTGTTGTAAAAGAGCAAGACTGGACTCTCCCTGGTCTCTGGCTTCCTGATTCACCATGTGATCTCTCCCTCTGGCATACATTCCCATCATGATATTATATGCCATGAAGTACTTACCAGAACAGGCACCATGCCTCAAAAACTGTGAGCTAAATAAACCTCTTTTCTTTATCCATTACCCAGCCTCAGGTGTTTTGTTATAGCAATAGAAAATGGACTCATACAGACACTAATCTCAATTATGAGGGTTCTCATTTCATGATCAAATTATCTCCCTAAAAGTCCCACCCTACCAACAAGTGGGTGGTTTGGAATTCAACAGAGGAATTTGGGAGGAGCATGGATACAAACTTTCAGACCTTAACTGGATGAGACCTTCAACCCTTATCCAGGAGTTTCAAAGTTCTTGAAACCTGTCAAGGTGTCCTTGATCAAGGTTCAGTGGCAAAGACAATGAGACTGATAAAATAAAATCAGCACAAGGAATAGAAAGAGAGTAAGTCAAGGTGCCATCTCCTGTACACAGCCAGGTGGTCAAAGGAATAGTGGTTCTGGACATACCTTGTGCTCTAGGGAAGCAACTGGGTAGATGAATTTTTAAAAATTGGTCTAGTTAGATACCTGCTGAACTTTCATGTGAAATTTTTCTGGCCAGTCAAGAATATGAGATAGAGGGGGATCTTTCCTAAGGTCTGGAGGAACCAACCTCGGAGAGGGAGCTCGAGGCATCAGCCCCTTTCCTCAGACACTGTCACACTGACATCCTGGGTGTGATGAGTCAAAGGGCCTTTGGCCTCTCAGGTTTTGCTGTGCCTGCAGCTTGGTGATGCATTTACCCAAGAAGATGCAGGTTGCCAGTGGCAGTCATTAACATGCTCTCACGGTTAGGGGGTGCATCTGAGCTCCGGCTCTCGCAGCAAGTTGAACACCAAGGCTCCTGAAGATTGTCACAGAAAAGTGGAAGAATGAGTGAGATGACTTTAGTCCATTCAATCATAACCCTAAAAAGAGATGTGGTTTTATTTCAGACCTCTAAGTGAGTAAAGCAGATGTATTTTGGACACTTCAAAACACCTCTTAGAATATCTAAGTTGGGCATAAGACATAGGTGGACTTTAGTGAATGCTTCAGGCACTGTTCTAGATTTTTTAGAGTATTTTTCATTTAAGTCTCTCATATAATTATGCACTAGTATTTCAAAGGGGGAAAAATAGCTGAGGCACAAGGGAGGAATATCATTTCCTAGGTCACCAATCAGTAAGTGGTGAAGACAGAATTCACACCCAACACGCTCTGAACAGCTGACCACATTTCCTCCTTCCTTGACACCCCAAAGGTCTGTGCTTTGCTCTATTGTATTTCAGAGGGCACATCACTACGGAAATCCACGATGAACATGCAGGTAAGGGAGAACCATCTCTCTTTAAAGCTCTGCAGTTAGTATCTCAGCTTTTTCTGTATCTTCCATTATAATTTAACTAATATAGTAAATAATGTTATCACGTGAAGATAAACTGTTTTATGCACCTAACCAAACGTAGGACCCTCACTAGAATTTGTTCCATGCTAACCCACACTGTAGATGGAATTGGTGCTTTTGTACCAATGGAATTGACCCTGCTGTGTAGACAAGGCTCAGGACTCCAGCTCTCTAATTTCTCCAGTCTGGTTCATTTCGCCTAGCACTCTGAAATCCAGCTCCCTACATGCTTTGGGCTCTACATGTATATTGTTATTATCAATTAGTGGCAGTATTTGCTATTGATATAGCACTTCATATTCGTAAGTCATTTCCTTTGGGTGTTTGTGCATGGCTGGTCTTTACAGCCACAGATATGTTTGCACTGACATCACCTTCCAAGGATTATTCCTATGGGTTAAATGATTTGCTTATGGCAATTGCAGAGGAACGTGTTATAGAATACATGATTAGCAATAAAGAGAAAGAAAAGACACCACAGGCTTGCTGCTTAGGGCAGTCCAGTGAAAGGCTGAGAGCCAAACAACTTGACTTTACCTGCTTCTATTTATGATCATAAAAGTGTTATTATTAAAGATGCTATTTTACATTTTATAGCTCCTGTTCGGTTGGAGTGATCCCAAAGGATTTTGCAAACTCTACGTGCATGGCTTCAACATTTCACATAGGCATTGCTCTTTCTTCCCCCACAAGGAACCTCTTACTAGGGAGGCAGAAACAATGATGGTAGCGGTAGTCAACAGATGAAGGTAAATGTGGTCATTATAATTTTACCCTCAACTCTGCCCAGTGTTAAACAAGAGTCTTGTCTTGGCCCGCAGGATCCATTCCGATTTCTAGAAAGAAAAGAGGGCGGCGGGCAGCCCAGCATCTATTGGCAAAGGCTGAGTGCCTGCCTGTTTGCACCACCGGGGACAATTAGAGCAAAATGAAACTGTGAATATTAGTAAGGGAAAGGCTGAAAAGAATTCCAGCTAGAAATCTTAAGATCTGTTCCTGTTCCTTATAGTGAAATATAGATTTTAATGCCCTAAAGACACTAAAACCATAATGCCAACCCTCAGAATGTGAAACACAATAGAAGCACAGGGCAAGGTCAAAAGGATGGAATTTGGAGATGAGTAGCAGGTGGAAATAGGAAAATGGTCGTGTGTCGGGTGGAAGCAGAGGAGTCTCGAGGCTAATAGTCACATTAACAAGTTGAAGCAAGCATCAAATTCCGGCATCCCTCAGCCCCAAGCCCCAGAAGCCCAGGTACCTTGCCGAGAGCACGCTGTCCTTGGGGCCTGCTTCCCGTTTGTTATTAAGCCCAGCTCTCTGTGGACCCAGAATCTATTTCTTGAGAATCATGATCATCTGCTTGAATTAGAAGGAGATTTTCACTTACCTGGAAATTCTAAAGGCTGTGTTCAGTACTAAATATTGCTAGGCACCAGAGGAGTTCAAGAAATATAGGTTTCCTTGTTTTCTCTTCCCCCTGAAAAGATCAGTGGGTTAGATTCCACACAATTTGGTTGTGCTGCAATTTATTCCAAATCGTTTGAGTTATTTAACAAATACTTTTATGGCACTTAGCATATGCTAGATAACTATGCTCAGAACTTAACTATTTATCACCCATGTGATCGTCACAACTACTCTAAGAAATAGGTACTACTCCTGGACAGATCAGTCAATTTACAGATGAGGAAAACTGAAGCACAGAGAAGTTAGATAATTTGCCTGAATTCTCACAGCTGATGAGTGGCCAAGCCAAGATTCAAATTCAGAGAGTCTGGCTTAAGTTGTTGTTTTCTCCACTGTTTTAGTCAGCTTCCTCCCTGCTGTAACTAAAACACCAATTTTAAGAAGGAAAAGTTTGTTTGGGGGCTCGCTATTTCAGAGGTCTCAATCCATAGATGGCCAGCTTCATTCCTCGGGCCCTGAGATGAGGCAGAACATCATGGAGAAAGAGTATGGCAGAGGGAAGTGGCTCAGGAAGCGATACCAGGAAGCAGAGAGAGAGAGAGAGCCCCTCTTACCATGGACAAAATATAAACCCCAAAGGCATGCCTCCAATGACCCACCTCCTCCAACAACACTCTACAGTTACCACCCAGCAAATGCCTATAGGAGAGTAATGTGCTGAATAGATGAAGGCTCTCATAACCCAATTATTCCACCTCTACACTTTCTTGCATTGTCTCACACATAAACTTTTGGGGGACACCTCAGATATAAACCCTGTAACACCTTGCCGCAGTCTGGCTGGGCACAAATCACGAGCCACTCAAGCAGGGACAAACTTTATTTCCAAACTCCACCAGCACACTCCCCAGGAACTTTCCCGAACGCCACCCACGCGGCTCCTCCAGGAACACACCACACACCAACGGGAACTCCTACCACCGGAACTTCACCAACCAACGCGAACTCTTCAGGAATCCCCACGAGAGCTCAACAGGAACTCCGCGAGAACTCAAAAGTCACCATCTTAATGGCTCGCTGGCGTCACCTCTCAACCACTACTTCTGGCAAAAATGCCACAAGTCATCCCGACTTGGCTGTGGCCCTCAACAACACCCGACAAGAGCAACTTAGAGGAGGAAAAGTTTATTTGCGGTTCATAGTTTCTGTTTTTTAGACAGCCAGTCCAATGTTCTGGCCCAAGGTAAGGCAGCACATCACAGGAAGGACACCTCGGAGGGAAGCTGCTCACTTCCTGGCAGCTGAAAAACAGACAGAAAGGAGGGGCTTCAGGGAAGTTGCACCCTTCCAGGGCTTTCCCCCAGTGACCCTCCCTCCAGCCATGCCACACCTGCCTCCAGCTACCACCCAGTCATTTAAAGGAGGATGCACTGATTAGGTTACAGCTCTCATTATCAGATTATTTCACCTCCAAATATTCCTGCACTAGCAGGACCTTTTGGAAGACGCTGAATATCCAAACCATAACAATCACTGTGCTACCATGCCTTTCGTCTATGTGATAGATTTTGCTTGCAAACTTTGAGAGACAGTTTTCATGAGAACACCAGAAAAATATGGTCAAAGCAAAGGGCAATAAAAATTTACAATTCAAGCAAAGAATAGAAGGAGCCACCAGAAGTTGGGGGTGGGAAGAATGTGAAGATGGCGGCCAAGTGTACACAAGCCTCACTTAGACATGAGGAATAACTGGATTTCTTGGGACCTGTTGCACAGTGTGGTGAATATGGTTAATAATAATGTATCATATATTTCAAAAATCACTGAGTAAATTTCAAATGTTTCCACCACAAAAAGTGATAAGTATTTGAAGTGATGGATGTTAATTAATGTAATTTTTCATTGTTTTCATAAATAATCTTACTTTGTACCCCATACATAGATACAACTATAATTTGTCAATTTACGATGAAAAATAAACTTATTGTTCAGGAAAACAAATGAATATGTTTATAAATTGTTTTCATCAAAACCTTGTTTGAAACCAGTATTTTATTAACCTTAAATTCTAAGATATTTTCCTCCTAAAGGAAGGAGTCATGCATTCTGAAGTGGTGCTTCATTTCTATCTTTAACAACAGCTTTCAGGCTCCAAAATATGGGAGTGGGTGAAGGTAGGAAAGTTTGGGCTTAAAAGGAAGGAAAAAAGCAAAGTGAGATGCATGTGGTCCAAATCCTGGCTTTGCCACTTACTCTTCATATGAGTTTGAGCAAAGTTATTAACCTTTCTGTGCCTCAGTTTCTGGATCTGTAAAAAGGGGTGATGATAGCACCGACCTCACAGGTTGTTATGAGAATTGATTGAGGTAACTCATAGAAGGTATTGAGAGTGACTGGCACATCGTGAGCACTCCCAATAAGTAGGTTATTCTCTTGGGAAAGCGGGCAGGGTATATAATGAGAGTAACATAGGAGACCTAAGGGTGCTGGAGCCATCTCTCTTAGTAGTTCCCTGGGAGGTTCATATACAGTACCTACATCCATGAGGATGACAGCACGGATGGACCAGCTTGCTGATGTGACATACTATTGAGTTTCTGAAATGTCCTCACCTGGCCCCAGAGAGCCAAACTCAGCCAAACCCAGGCCCTGCACGTCTTTCTGTGCACACTCATCTGAGGTCACACCCAAGGCAGGACTGCAACTCAGGCAGCCAATTGCCAGGGCAACTGGTGTGGTCTGCAGAAGTGGGACCTGTATATCTGGGAGAAGTAGCCTAGACTCCAAGGGCACCACACCCAAGGTGTATTGTGCCTCTCTGGGGAGCAGTGAGTAGAGCCCAGCCTGTCACTTCTACTTTTGAATCTCTATTTGTCCTTTCCCTTTTTTTTTTTAAATTAGATAAGTGATGTGTGCTTGTTGAAAGCAAATTGAAACAATGCAGTAATAATACAGTGAAAGAAAAGTCCTTTCTTACCTCTTTTCTTTGTCACACTCCCCCCGAAAAAAAATAGAACCCCAGTTAGCAATTTGGAGAATTCCTTATCATTCCGGAATTTGGTATATCTTTATGTAGACATGCACACACACACACACACACACACACACACACAGAATATTCTCCTCTTACACAAAAAGGTGGACAGGGGAAACTACATTGCTAAATTTTTTTTGTCCCTTGTTGTCTTAAACTCCATCATGAACACCTTTCCAAGACAGAACACATAACTAATTTTTACAACCTGCATATTTTCCATTGCATACAGTTTCAAATCTTATTTTACCATGGCCCCTGTAAGAGTCATTTTGGACTTGTTGTTATTGTTGGTTGGTTTTATCTTCATTGCATTCAATGCTCCTGTGAAAATCCTTATAGAAGTGTTTCTACAAGAATGATTCCTAGTAATGTAATTGCTACATCATTATATATGTGTGTGTGTGTATATATATATATAATGTTTTCATTTTATATTAATACTCAAAATTAGGAAGAATTATTTCCTGAATAAAATCTAAACCCCTGTTCTTATTATTGTCAAAAAGGAAAAGGTGATGCATTTTTGCATTTCAATTTTGCACTCCAAAGAAAGGGTATTGATGAACACTTCTTTGTTTTAAATTTCTTATTTTTCTGTTTTTAAATAAAATTTCTTTAATTTATGCTTTGGAGAATACAATATTATGATAAAACCATGAGGGAAGCCACATTTTGTAAATTAAAGTTCAAAAGATCAAAGAAAGACAAAATAAAACACCTCCAATTTGTGTTACGTGATATTGACATGTTCAAATCACAGCATTGGCAGCTTCATATTTCTTTGTTGTGATTCTCAGAGTTATTCTAAAAGGTCGCTTAAACCCCAGACCATACTGAATCAAAATCTCTGGGGGTGTAGCTTGTGTTACAGTTTTTAAAAGTTCCCAGATGATTCTCAAGTACAAGAACAGCTATTGCACTTGCTAATTTTATAATTTCCGAAATTTTAGCAATAAAGTGCAATTGTTCTGCAGCATTACAATAATAAAGAAACATTAAAGGGAAGTTGTAAATTTAGTCATTTCTAATTAATTTAGTCATAATTAATCATTATGCAAAAAAATAGAGGAAAAGGAGAAATATTGGGGAAAGATGTTGGCCAAATTATTTTGTTATATTCTGTGCATGTATGAATATGTAACAACAAAACCCACCATTATGTACAAATATAATGCACCAATAAAAATATGGAGTAAATAAATGAAATAGTTATTTGTAACTTGGATAAGAGTACAGGCAGATATATGGTTTGGGAGAAACCAAGTGATAGAATAAGCTATATTAAAGAAAAGATGGGACTCAGATAGAGCCAGGCAAGGTTAATGCACATGGTTTGAATCAACTGAAGTTTTTCAAGTCCAAAGTCATGAGAAAAAAAAAATTAAACACAAGAGCTCTTCCAGCTTCAATTTTAAAGAATAGATGAGCACTGCCCAAGAAGAGGCAGATAACAAGCCTTGGTAAATGGTTATTATGGTGATAGTGAAACCACATCATAAGAGATGAAAAAAATCATAAGAGATTATCGGTATAGAAGGAGGTCAGGCCAGCAGCCAGCACCAGTTCATGTCAAAGTCAGAAATGATTCATAAAGGCATAAAAGGTACTTGTGGAACAGGGACTTACAAGGGACAATGACAGAATCAAAACCCTAGCCCTCTTCTGCATAAGGGATGGATAGGTAGGTGTCCTTTACCTTTTTCTCCCACTAGATACTTTGTGTCAAATGAAAGGTCAGTTATTTTAAAACCACAAAGAAGACTTTACACCACTGTGTGCAAGTGTAATGGAGTCTTTTTATAATAGTTAATGAACACTGCGTTTTAAGTCAGTTTGTAGCCTGTACTCTGTATCAAGCAAATCCTGGGTGATTAAACACTTAAATTTCTGTTTTCTACACTTCAACTTCTTTGTTAAGACTTGGGTATGGTTATAAGGCTTAGAAAACTAATTTGGTAAAAATCCAACAATGGAGTCAATCACATTCGAAGAGTAGAACAGCACCTGGTGTCCTAAACTAGAAAACAACAATCAGAATAATAAAACAGACACCCTGAGTGTCAGCAGCCCTGAGCTCTGTAGGGACTGGGCTCCAAGGCCACAGAGAGGAATATGGGAGCTAATCAAAACCATTCAATCTAACTTGAAGAATGAAACCAAAGCCTGACAAAGGACTTTGTGTAATAGCAAATAAAGCAACATAAAATAGTAATATCCAACTGTGACTTCCAAGACCATCAAGACAGTGGAAGACCCTGAAAAAATACTCCTGCTTAAATTTCCTTCAAGCACGTGTGCTATGAATCAGCCTAGGAACATGACATTAGATTGTAATTTGAGTGGTAAAATTATACACACTGCTTTCCCTGGAATGGTGTTAAAAGCTTATGAGCTGTTGTGCATGTCTTAAAAAAAACTTAAATTTACTATAATTTTTTTATATAGTCTTAGAAGCAAAATGAGACTAGAGCAAGAAAAAATTGGAGGATTCCTGTATTAGGAAAAATGAGCTAGTATTTCAGAAAGCACTAAGGTTACTCTTTCAATGGAGAAAGTTGCCTGGAAGGATATATGTAGAAGAAAATACACAGAAAATAAAGCTACAAAGGGACCTGCTACAGAGGAAAAGAAACAAGGTGACACGTGTAGGAGGAAGAAAAGTGTCACAGAAGTGGAAAGCTTTGAAGGTAAAAACAAGGGTGACTCTCATGCACATAAAGGAGGAAACCCACAGTACACGTGTGGTAAAAATGTTTTCTGATATTAAGTGACAGAGGAAAGAAAACAGGGCAGGGAAATGTTATGTAGTGTACATTCTAGACAACTTAGCTCATATCTTAGTCCTGATTTTTAGTTTGAAATTCACAGCTTTTCAGCTCCTTTGGGACAAGAGCTAAAGAGAAATTAAACTTTTAGTTTTGTGTTACTATATAAAACTACCTGATGCTGAGTAATATTTAAAGAAAAGAGGTTTATTTTGGCTTATTTTGGCTTTCAGTTCCAGATGCTGACACCGTGCTATTTGGAAGTCCAGTGTCTGGTAGGGGCCCCTGGCTGCATCACAACATGGTGGACGGCATTGCATCACAGGAATGCATTTAAGAGAGTTTACATGGTGAGAAAGGAAGCAAGACAGAGAGCCAGCTTCACTCTTTATAACAAATCATTCTCCTGGGATCTGATCCACTCCTGCAAGACCTAATTAATTAACAGTCATGACCCAATCACCTCCCGCTAGCCTGGTTCACCTTTTAACAGCATTAACAGAGAGAATCAGGTTTCCTGCCCATGAACCTTTGAATGACTAACCATATCCACACCATAGTTCCAAAAACTGGAGAAAAAATTTAACAAGCATACAAACAAATAGTGACTGTTTCTGCTCCCTAACCAGTGCCCGTTTACTTTAGCCACCATGGCCACACAGCTATTTGCAGCAAGTTGCTGGATATCTGTGTAGACAATTAATCTTGATTCAGTCCTTATTTTCTTTTCTTTCTTTTTCATTTTCCTTTTTTTTAAATTATTCATCTAATTGGACTAACCATAGGCTGCTGACTTGTATGTTTACAGACATTAATACCACCTGGATTGAATTTCCAGACTTCAGCAATATTCAGTCTTTAGCATCTCAATACACCTTTGTGTATTACCTTTCAGGTAAAAACCTGTGTTATAAGTACAAACTTCTCTGAATGTCAGGCCAGATCTCACTCCAAATTTGTAGATCGCAGATGGTAATTAGAATATGAGTTGGGGGAAATAATGGGAAGAAAAAGACAAGATAGTCGAGAATCACATTTGCCCATCTGCCTTTAATGTCTAGTAGCATCCATTTACAAGGATCGTTTTTCCTTCTGTATGGGGAAGAAAGCAGCTGTACATCACCAACCTGGACCAAGCGAGGGCAGAGCAGAGAACTGCCAGGTGAATTAGAGCAGATGGGCAGAGGATGTGGCTTTCACATGACATACTTCTTCCCCATTATTTTGCTTATTGCCTTCTATTTCGTATATTAAATCAAAGACAAGGGCACCCTCATTCTACAGGCTTGGGAATGGGGTTCCACATGTTGAACCCTACTGGATTGCTAGCACAGCCAGCCAGTTTTTAATGGGGGAAAGACACAAGAAGGTCTAAGAACTATTTCAGTCCTTTACTCTAAATGAACATTCTTTTTTCTTTTCCTCTGCACTATCATGCTATGGTACTTTAAACTTCTCCCATCATTAAGCCTTCTGAGTGAAATATTGAACTGATTAATGTGGCATTTTCCACTAAACTGTTTCAGGAAATGTTGCACCTTACCAGTGGGATGCTTTTGAATAATGTAATCTCCTTAGTATAATTAAAACTAAGTTCTGAAGTTAGTACCTTTTCTCCCTGGAGGCACTCATCAAAATGTCAAGTGTGCCTTCTAGTAGAACTGCAATCCCATAGTACAAACAAATATATTACCCACTGCTCCTCACTAGCAAGAGACCCTTGTTCCTTTTTTTTTCTTTCTTTCTTTTTTTTTTTTTTTTTTTTTTTTTTTTTTTTGTCACTTCATTTCTAATCTGAGCAAGCAGCACAAGAAATATGGTCTCCAAAAGCCACTGGGCCCTGCATCCTGAGCAGTGTTCTGCACCAGCTGCCTGGCTGGCATTTCCTAATATTTCACTTGACTATTTGTCATTAACAGATGAACTTTTTTGTTGTTGTGTTATTATTGATACATAGAAAACAGGGTGGATGTAAAAGTCCTTCACGCTTTTCGGACTTTCTCTTGGTTTAAAAGGAAAAGGAAAAAAAAAAAAAAAAATCAGGAATGCAGCGCCCTCTTCTGGTTGAGAAGTGTTTAGCGCTCTGTGCAGACCTGAGTGGCATTTTTGACCGGGTTTTGGAACTGTTGGGTATATAGTGAATTACAGATGAATAATCAGCATTGTTTTCAACATAATCCCCCTCTCCCAGGGACAGCCTTATAGAGCTGGTCCCAGGTACCCAGCCTGTAGGGCTCTGGAGGAGTGAGGTGGGCGGGGTATTTCCCGGGTAAGCGGGAATGATAAAAATGGTGTCAAGAGTCTGGCCCTTCTCTGGAACATATATTAAATCAAAGACAAGGGTACCCTCATTCTACAGGCATAGGAGACTTCTTTTTGTGTGGATATCAGAGAGAACCTGATATCTCTCACCAGTTGTTGTTGTTTTCCTCTAGAAAAATTTGAGAGGATGTCAAAGGTTTCCAAATAGCAGCCTGTTACTTTCTCATGATTGTAACCACTCTAATGTTTTACTTCCTGGAGATCATATTAGAGTCTCCCCTAGAGCCCACACCTGCCTTTGAGCAGCCCCATCCCCAAATAAGATGGCCCTGCCAGTATCCATCTGGGAAGGAGGTGGGAGGAAGTGACAAAGGAAGGCACAGACACTCGGAGACAGAAGGAGCCCAGCAGGAATTTGAAAGAGAAATATTCAGTGCTGGAACGTGCTTCTCCCCAAATAATGTTTTCATTCCCTAAAAAACATGCTTCTTTCCAGTCTGAAGGCCAGGCTGGCTGCCACTTCTCTTCTCTTTGCCTGCCAACTAGTCATTAGCAAACAATGAGTGACAGGGCGGCTGCACAAGAGAAAGAAAATGGGCATGTAGCAGCACATTTGCTGAGATGGATGTCGTGGAAGGCAAAGTATGTGAGTGTCAGGTTGGATGCTGCCCTCTCAGGGAGCTTCAGGCTGAGGAAAAGGTGAAGCCAGGCACAACTGAGACACACAGTCTCCTGGGCAAGTACACCTGGGGACATGTGTACCTGCGAATATGTGCAACGAGGTGTGCCTACCTAGGGCAGTGGCTGGGGCAGGATATTTCCTATACTTAGCCGATCACAAATATGCTTGGAGCAAATAATTTAAGAGAGTTGTTTCTAGAACATCCAAGCTAAAGTTCTTTGGATGAGAAGCTCTCTTTAGCATAACTTAAACAAAAACACGAATGTTTCAGAAAGAAATGTTTCTCAAAAAATCCAAGGGCAGAAATTACAACAGGGCCTGGGCTGCTTGTGTATCTGGAGCCAGGGAAGTAAAAAGCAGTTAACACCCCAGGCAGCTGCTCCTGCTGTCTGCCTAGCTCCAGCCCTCCAGCCCCGCATGCTTTCTCGGCCCTCAGCTTTGTCCCTGCTTTTTTCTTCTTTCTTCAGTCTCTCTTTAATATTTATGTAGCCAAACATCGTGACCCCAGCCCCAGAGTTCAATTGTCCTCAGTTCAAATAACCCATAAAACTGAATGATCTATTCATTCCCATTCAGAATCCCCAAACAGACTATTTGCTCCATCCCCTCCGGTTCACCTGTTTTACACGCAGCCATGATAAGAAGGTAGAGTCGTCGTGTGCCATAACATGGCTATCAGAATTCACCCTGTGCTTGGGGAGAGAGTTCTTGGAGAAAAGGGTCACGGACTGGGAAAAAGTTCCAATAAAAACACACTTTTCCATTTTACTCAATGATCTCGGAGCACAGCAGAAATGGTTTGGTGAAATGGCAGAAATGATGATCAGGATTTTTGGAGGGGAAAAAAGGCTTATTGGAACTTTTCCTATTTCTGAAAACTTTTAAAAGGGGAGGAAGGAGGAAAAGATACCAAACTTTATTCTATCATATAGTGGAAAGATAACTAGTTTGGGAGCTAGGATCTGCAGACTGACTGTTCCTGGATCACCAACTCTGGCTGTGCAAACAAACTGTGTGATCTCTTAACACAATTTTCACATCTATGAATATGCAATTACCTTAGTTGCTCTGTGTCAAAGGCTGTATAACAGCTGTTGTCCTTATGAGAGTGAGTAGGGACTAAGCAGAGCTTTGGTGTTCTATGGCTAATAAATATAGATCATCTAGAAATTGGGGCTATATTACTCTGGAAACAAGAAAGAAAAACAATAGGCTTGCTCCATCAGCAGCAGCCTTACTTCAGGCCCCTGGAAGAATTGAGCTGCAAATTCTTAGAGTTAAATCTGACAGAGCTAGTGAGAAACTGATGTGACTCCATTTTTGAGAAACCAGCCTCTACCTCAGAGCAAAGCCTGTCCAAACCCTTGTCCTTGGAAAAACCCACAGAGCACTCCTAAGCACATACCCACCCTGCTGAGTTGTTTGTCTGTAAATAACAGGAGAGATCTGCAGTGCCAGGTGTCCCTGACTCAGTCAGGCTAGGTGAGGACCCATAGCAACCCCCTAGCAACTACCAATCAACATGAGATAGGGAAAATACCTGGGATGCCAGATGACCCCCCACTAGTTTATGGTGGTTGATAACATGTTGGAAAACCATGTAGTTTAGCATGTACACCCCTCGTGGCCTAAACCAATCAGTTCAAAGGAATCCCCCTCTTGTACTAACCAACACCCTTACCCAACTTGTTCCCGCCAGCGAATGTGCTAATCAATGTTAAGAGTTGTTGTTTGACTTTCCTGCGGTAGGGAATGATTTGCTGTGTGATGTTGTGACACATAGAGTATCCCCCCAAAACCTATGAAATCTCACTGAACAAAGGACGGGACTCACTCCCGGGGACCGCTGCATCGGGATCGGTTGTGAGTTCAGGCTTGAGCTTGCAATAAAGACTCTTGTGTGATTGCATCGGATTTGGCTCCTGGAGGTCTATTGGGGTCCCACAAATCTGGCATTACACTAGAACACTCACTGGGGACATAGTAACAAAAATGATGCCAAGAATTATCTTGGTGGGTAAAATAGGGAAGCTCCCACAGTGTTCAACTGGGTCAGAAATGTGAAGTTCAGCAAATGATGTTTTACACCATTGGGTCAAGACTGATCGCTCTCACCCAGGATGTGGTGGAGCTGCAGTGGAGTGACACCTTCCAACCCCTATGATTCAGCCTACGTGGTCCCTCCCTCCTCTCCAAGCTTTCAGCCTCCGATCTTCTGGAAATGACATTCCCAGCAAGAGAAACGCTCTTCTGGCAGGCACAGCTCTCCAAGTTTGTTGTGAAGATCTAATAAGATAATGGATATAAAATGTTTTAAAAACTGTGAAGTACTAAACAAATGTAAGTTAATATAATTATTATGATTAACAATGTCATAGAGGGGGAACCATTAAATCAGTCAAGCAAATTGGCACATGTACTTAGTACCTAAAATAATCAAGCAGGGAGCCTAAAAGCAATTTGATAATCTTCTCCTTTCAAGTTCCTTTTTATTAAGCTTTTGTGAGTCTGTGCATCTATAAAATCAGAAGATATATTTGGCTCCAAGCTTTCTCAGCTTAATGGGGGGATTTCTTCTTCAGATTATTCCTTTCTCCAAATTCTTACAAGGGAAAATACTTGTTCCCCTCTGGGACACACACACACATGCCACCATTACAGAGAAGTATCACCTCAGAACTGGCTTATTCTGGTTTTGTTCTTTGAGATTGCTTGCAGCCAGGATGGAGAATTTAAGTGTGGAAGAGGTGAGAGAAACAGAGAAAGAGACAGATAGAGATATGGTGGCAGGGCACAGAAAGAGACAATGACTACTGTGTTTTCAATGGGTCATCTTGTCTGTTCAACAGAGATTAAATAAAAGAATAGCAATTAGTTCTTACGAAGGTCCCTGAAGGGCAATTATATTATATTCAAAAATAGGTAACCACACGTAAGAACCATATTCAGGTAGCAACAAGGACAACCTGAGGTTCTAGGTCAAAAATAAGTTTTTTTGTTGTTCATTTGTTTGGGGTTTGTTTCTTCAAAAGTAAAGGGAATGAAACCCAAATTGGAGGGCTATGGTGGAGCATGGAAAGGCCTTTCCAGTCAATTTGTGTAAGGTGAGATAGAAATTAGAAAAGAGTTTGTTTAAATGAGTGGAGTAAGGGGATCCTTGACAAACCACATCTGTGTTCTTCATGAAATAGAAGATAATGGAACCCAAGAGAGGAAAGCAGAATCTATTACTAAATATGAAGAGGACTGAGACCTAGAAAAGGAAGGTGATCAGCATGCTGGACAGAGAAAATGTTACCAGGCCCAGGGTAAGACTTCAGAGCTCACGAGGCCTTTTGCCTTAGATTGTAATTAGAGTATGCTTACCGGCAGGGTTTTATATTTATCTGTGATTCCTAAAATGATGGCCTTCTAGTCCCATGCACTAGATCATAGCAATGGCCATTTTGGACCTTATATTCAAAAAGTGTAATTCAATATTATTAAGGTAAACAGGAGGCTGGGGATGTGGCTTAGTGGGAGAGCACTTAACTTGGCATTCATGAGGCCCTGAGGTCGATCCCCAGCACCATCCAAAACAGACAAACCAGAAAAACAAGAAAGTAAAAACAATCTTAAGAATTAGCTTTTAAAAAATAAAAACTCTGGTAACATTATACTTTTCATCTGGGCATTTTGACATTTTTAGCATTACTACTCTTTTCCTTATTTTCCTCATGGATTTTAAGGATGAAACCCTTAGCTCCCCCCTCACAGGAGTACTGGGGAAAAGAAGCCACCTAGAGCTGGACCTGAGGGTTAGGTTCCAGCTGTATCTGACCGTGAGACCCTGGGAAGTCACTGCCCATTTTCAAGCCTATGGAGTGGGAGTGGTGATACACATCCTTACTAACTCCAGGAGTGAATGTGCAGGACAGCAACGTAAAACATATCAAGCCCACACAAGTAATAAGCCAATTTTAGAGACCACAGACTTACAAGAGGAACGGCTTACTACCATCCCGACTCAAGACTCTCAAGACTTTTAAGATGAAGAACCTGGTCTTAGTTCAGGTGGCTCTAACAAAGTACCATAAACTGGGTGGCTTATAAACTACAGAAATTTACTTCTCACAGCTCTGGAAGTTGGAGGTCCAACATCAGGGTGTCGTCATGGTTAGGCTCTTGTGAGGGCCCTCCTCTGGGTTGCAGTCTACCATCTTTTCATGTATCCTTAACATACAGAAAGACAGGGAGAGAGTACTCTGGGTTCCTTTAAAAGGGCACTAATCTCATTCATGAGGGCTCTGCCCTCATAACCTATGTACCTCCCCAAAGCCCCACCTCCTATTATTATCACACTGGGATCAGGATTTCAACATATGAATTTGGGAGGAACAGAAACATTCAGTCCATTGCAGACCTTTTCTCTAAATAAAATCATATGTAAATAAAAACCCAGAGCTGTTTTGTTAAAGCAAGGAAAGGGGAGTTCCTAAACCCAGTTAGATTTATAACATAACGTGCCCTCAGCCCCACTTCACCACCAGCAGAGGGGAGGATGTAGCCTTTGGTATTACTCAGTGCACAAATTTTAAAACTCACTGATCTATTCCAGTCTCCATAAATTACAATCGAGGGAACCAGAGTCACAGAATGAGTTACAATTGGCTCTGCTATAAAATATATTTCTAGAACACCAATTAGCTTATCCACCATTGGTATATAGGGGACTTATGTCAGCAAAATATGGAAGTCATGCTCAAACAGGATTTTTCAGAGACAAAGGGAGTTAGACTATCAGGAGAAGGTAAAGAAAAAGCTCCTTGGCCAGCTGCTATACAGGCAGGAGCCCTTTTAAAAATAAAGAAGTAGAAATAAGCTCCTGCCTGGCTCTCCGCTGTGGCAGGCTACGTTTCCTCCTATGCCCACCTTGCTAACAGCGCCATTAGCGCAGAGCTCCACCCACACTCTCCCAGGGCCCCTAGGTCATCTTTCCCACTCTGTTGTTTTTGCACCTTCCCCTGATGCAGCCTCTGACATGCTGAATACCTGGGTCTTGCCAAAACTCTCCTCAAGTACTGTATTAGTCTGCTCAGGTTGCCATAACAATTTGCTGCGTAGCTCAAACAACAGAAATTTATTTTCTCACATTTCTGCAATCTGAAAGTCCAAGGTCAAGGTGCCAACAGGTTTGAAGTCTGGTAAGGCCTCTCTTCTCAATTTGCAGACAGATATCTTTCTGTGTCCTCACACCCTGCCCCACTACCCCAGGGAGAGCAAGGGAGTGTCTCTTTCTCTTCTTAAAAGGACACCAGTCCTATAGGATTAAGGCCTAAGACCCACCCACATGACCCAATTTAACCTTAATTACCCTCTTAAAGGTCCTGTCTCCAAACACTGTCAAGTTGGGGGTTAGGGCTTCAACATATGAGTTTAGGGGAGGGGAAACAATTCAGTCCCTAACAGGTACCAATTATGATTTCATAGTGTTCCTGTTTGTGTTGCTTAGATTTTGATGGCATATCTCTCATCTTATTTTTAGATAAGTTTGAAAAAATTTTAATGCATAATGTAGGTAAATATATTGGGAAGTGGTCACTCACTCTTGCTTCTGGTGATAAAATAAAATAAAATTGGCACAAATATTATGAACAGAAATTTAACAACACATTTCAAAAGTCTAAATATTTTGTGTATCCCTAATTCAGACATTCCATTTCTAGTTCATCTATCCTAAAGAGAAACCAAACTAGCTACCAAAATATTTACCATAATGTTACAATGTGGAAAAATTGGAAGTCCTATCAATTAGGACCAGTCCATCACATGATAAAATTCTATAAAGCTACTAATATAATAAGTAGAACATGGAACATGGAAATATACATTTAATATAATAATACATAAAAGTACATGCAAATTCTGTCAAGGCAAACCCATATAACCCCCTTTTTACAAAAATATTACATTGTAAGTTATAGATAGAAAACATTTAAAAATTACCTCGGTGTGGTAAGATTAAGGCTAATATTTATTTTCTGTTTTCTGTTTATTTTCCACAATGAGCAAGCATCATGTTCATCAAAAGAATATATAGAGATATATGTGCATGTGTGTGTGTGTGTGTGTGTGTGTGTGTGTTCAAACTGCAGGAGGAATAAATAGGTGCTGTCAGGTAAGTTAGATCCTTAATCTAAGACAACTGTGTATGTCCATCATCCGTTTCTTAGAATCTTCTGCATGCTATGAATTCCCTGAAGAATCTTCTTCTTTCAGATGAAGAAGCAACAGAGGGATTATAACAACAACAACAAAAATCTTTCTAGACAAAGGATCTTTGTTAAACAACAAATCCACCCTTTCTTCCCTCACTCTCCATCACCCCAGAACTCAGGGAATGAAGGGGGAGCCAGCAACACAGCCTCACAGTAATACTTTCCTAACAGAATGTGCTCTGCTGTTTTCCCCAAGTTCAGCAGATCAAGAAGCCAAGGAACAGCCTTAGGACTGTTCTGAAAGGTGATTTTAAAAATCAGCATCATTCTTGTCAAGCAAAGATAGCCTTTTCTTAGGAGACCCAAACTGTTCCTTTAGAGTGGTTCAGGTCTCTGAGGCAAATATGTATCTAGGCGCTGTGGTGGAGAGTATTTGCCAGTGAGAATATCAATGCCCAGGTACACACACAGTATGTGTTTTGCCGTGAATGTTTTCCCAGTAAACAAGAATGGGGCCATCAAAAGAAAGAAACACTAATTTTAAATCAATTAAATTCAAATAGATATGCTTCCTTGGGGTATAGTGCTTGCCTTTTGGTAAGTACACTAATTTTGTAGACTTGTATTATTTACCCACAAATTGTTTTTGAAGCATCTGTGTCATTAAGTTGAAGTCATACTGGTACCTCCTATAGTTCCTTCCTCGGCCATGAATTATTTTTTTTTTAATTTTTTATTGTTGGCTGTTCAAAACATTACATAGTTCTTGATATATCATATTTCACAATTTGATTCAAGTGGGTTATGAGCTCCCATTTTTACCCCATATACAGATTGCAGAATCACATCAGTTACACATCCATTGATTTACATATTGCCATACTAGTGTCTGTTGTATTCTGCTGCCTTTCCTATCCTCTACTATCCCCCCTCCCCTCCCCTCCCCTCTTCTCTCTCTGCCCCCTCTACTGACATTCGTTTGTCCCCCTTGTATTATTTTTCCCCTTCCCCTCACTTCCTCTTGTATGTACTTTTGTATAACTCTGAGGGTCTCCTTCCATTTCCATGCATTTTCCCTTCTCTCT